CTCTTCTCTGCTCCTGGAAGATGAAGTGAGAGATACAAAACTGTGACTCTCAGTTGAACACTAGGAGTCCAGTGTAATGATATAACTGGCTTTATTTCAATATTGATGTGTTGTAGGGAATGGAGAGGCCCGAGGACAGAGATATGCTTCTTAGCTGGAGAAATGTGAACTCATGAATTATATAAGTTTGCCATCTCATAGGGTAAAGTTTGTGGTTCCCTGAAACAATTACAGTAGTAACACTGCAGATCACTAATTGCAGACATCTATAGTAGATAAAATAATAATGAAAAAGTTTGTAATATTGTGAACATTACGAAAATGTAGTAAAGACATAAAGTGAACACACAGAACCTTGGAAAATGATGCCAGAAGATTTACTTGATGCAGTGTTGCCAGAAACCTTCAGTAGGTAAAAACCTGTCTTGTAGCTCAACAAAGGGAGCACTACAAAATGAGGTGTACACAATGTAAAATCAGATTAAAATTAACTACTGATAAAAGAATCCTGTTACCAGCCCAGAAGAACCACCCAGAGATGGAAGTGGTGGGAAGATCGGACTTCCAGATAGGTGGGCTGACATCTAAGTGAATATTAGCAAATGTCTAAAGGGGGAACTAAATATATTATAGGTTTTAAGTTTGGGAGCACAGGTTTAAAGAATCTGGCTGAAATGTTTGAGTCTAAGACCCAATGGGCAGTCAGTGCAGGTTGGTACACAGAGCGGGGGTACTACAGAGTGACCTTAGCCCTATGTTAAACTTTTATTGCCCTTGCTTCTTGTTTACCAGGGGCCAACTATTGCCAGTAATGAAGAGTCCATTGTCTATAGTGGACAATTCAGCGTTACTCGATGGTCACTCTCAGGCCAGTCCTCACAAATCCCATGTCATACAATTAATTAAATTAAATAGATAACTTGTGACTGAAACCAACTTGTCAGTTTAGGCAATATCTATTGTAAAATGACAGTAAAGATTCTTTTGAAGTCAGCATGCATATGTGAGCTTATGCTCTGTGATGATTAAGTTGTCCACTGCTTCTGTCTACTGATATTAATGAAAAATTTTCTCTTCATTTGATATGTTAAGGCATTTTAAAAATGTAGTTTTGTTAGACTCTTAAAATAATCCTCACTCTCAAAAATTAACATACATCTTGCAGCAGTGCCAAGTGAAGGCAACTATCAGTGTGATTCACAAATGTTAATCTGATCTTTTTTAAATCAAAATGAAAATTCGAAATTTGAAAATCATCTTAGCTTTTATACTTAATGTAAATATAGATACGTAGATTTCAGTTTGAAAATATTAAATATAGCAAAATATTATTTTGCTTTTTAATATATTCTCCATACCTTTGTTCTTCCTTAATTAATTTCTTTTAGATGTGCAGGTATGCTTATCTACTTATCACTCTGGTATGTGTTTGATGTGCATGCGTGCATGTGTGCATCTGTAGTGTTGTGGATTCAGTCCAAGGCCTCATAAATGATAAGTGAGCCACGGCCCCCAAACTTAGCACTGCATTTTTTCTTCTCTGTTGAAATTTGGGGTTGTGCCACAGATTACAATATGCAACTTTTCTTTATTGCAATTTACCTTAAGTTAGTATTCTATCATTTCACAAAAGCACAAGCACTTTAAATAATATGATTTTCTACTTATCCCTACCCATTGTGCTGTTGTGGCC